ATGTATCGTGTTAGCTAGCTATATCGCCCGATAGTAAATAACCCAATTCGAATTGCTAGCTAGGTATATCGGGTAGTATATTGAGTTAGCTAGCTAGATCGTCCGATAGTCGATATTTTTCTTCTCCTTGGGTACTATTTGAAATGCCCCTATCAAAAGATTGAATATGCGGTTGACTTGAAAGATAGCCATTCCTCTAGTATTTCCGTATTCAAAAAGTAGAACCATTGAGGACATGCTCGATAATAAGCTTTTTTGAGGAATATATACTTCAACAGTTTATAGATCATTATTCACGGGTCCAAAAAATGTACACTTTGGATTTTTTCATTCAACGTCCATATCGTTGCTCACCATGTGTAATCACTAAAAGAACGTTTTTTCTCAACAGACTAGTTTTAGATGGATCTGTCATCATGGATCGAGCTTTATCAATCGATTATAATTGGAAAATTGTCGTGTTTATGCTCCAGACTTACCCCGATTATTTTCATCAGAATGTAGTCATTTTTCAATAGAACTGCGGAGAATCAATTTCTTGATCGTCAATCCAATTTGAAAGAAAGTTTGAGTTGAATAGCGGGAAACAGAACACTTAATAGAATACTTGAAACTGTTCACACGTCCTTTGCCATCTGTTATAGTGTTAAAAATATTCTCGAGTTTATTACAGACATCGGTTTGAAACTTAATGCTGTTGTACGTGTTAAGTATTACCTATACTTATACTGTCAAACGAATCAGGCCTGCACAGTAAAAATTGAGCGTGATGCTAAACAATTAATGAGATTGGCATTTATTCTGGTGTATTTCTTATATTTCGTTTAGTTTTGACGTTTGGTGCAGAAAAATCATATTTCGATCTCTACTAAAAAGATAGAATTTTTTAAGAGAAGGTCCACGACTGAATCGAGCATTTTCACTATGTCATGCAAAAAAAATTTGACCTATCTTTTTGATTATCGCAAATGAAAGAGTATGTAAGAAAACCTACACATTCAAAATTGTAGCCTTCTCTGAATGACTATTGAATAGATACGAAAGAAACATTGGAAGTGTCTCCATAAATCTCTAAAACTAATGATCATGCGTTTTTTATTTTATCTTCTTCTCAGTATGTGATTATTTTTTTCCTAAAAGTCAATCTAATCAAATTGAATAATATCTCAAAAGATGAACTAAGTTTTGCTCTACAAAACGGTATGTAGATTTTCTTTAAATAATTTTTAAACGTATCTATGAATGGCCAATTTCTGAACAACGACACAGAAATCATGCAAAAATTTTGAAAATTTTGTGCTGTTTTTTGCTATTTCTATGGAAAAAGAGTATCGAAAAGTCTTCAGGTCGACCATAATTTCTTATGGTTTCGATAGAGCGAAAAAAGTGCACAAGATGCTCCTAAAAAGAGATTTAAAATCACGCGCATAGTGCATTAATTTAGCTCAAAAGATTATAGAACATTACCCCTATACACCACTTTTTTATGGTATTTTTCGAAATTTGTCAATCAAATCACAATATGACTAAGCATTTTTTTTTGACAAGGTAGAGCCGACGCGGTATAAAACATCCAGAACCTATTACGTTAATTCGACAGCTGATCTAATAAGATATTATATATAAAGATAAAGTACTTTATAGTCTCTATAGTTGTGTAATCCCCCCGCTGAACATAAAATACATCTCCCGCCCTCCACATCCTCGCCCTTACCTCAGCTTCATGGCAAAATCTCGACGGGCGAGGGTGTAGGACGAGGTTTTGCTGAGAGGACGGGATGAGAGTAAGGATGTGGAGAGTGGAATATAGACTTTATATTTAGTCGAGGCCTATGCTAAACTGCGCCCCAAAGTAATTATACGCACTTCGATGTCAGTAGAAAATGAATGCAAGAACGAGGAATTCTGGAACGGTTCCTTTGTAAGTTTTTATAAAATACGGCATGAGCATTTCTGGACCATGGTGTTCCCTGATGCTCGATAATGTGTTGAGATTATGCTGTTACGAAGTGATCTTTCTAATCACCGAGCTCTTGATCTACGTAAAACTAGCGTTTGTACGAAACATAAGTATGACTTACCCCAGAAATTTCGATCATTTCAGTATCTCTCTTGTGCTGTGTGTAGGTCACATTTTGGAGAATCAACATCTGGAATTACTGCGCAAAATACAGTCGCGTTTGTAGCACTTACCTTATATGAACAATTAAAATTATTTAAAGAAAATCTACATACCGTTTTGTAGAGCAAAACTTAGTTCATCTTTTGAGATATTATTCAATTTGATTAGATTGACTTTTAGGAAAAAAATAATCACATACTGAGAAGAAGATAAAATAAAAAACGCATGATCATTAGTTTTAGAGATTTATGGAGACACTTCCAATGTTTCTTTCGTATCTATTCAATAGTCATTCAGAGAAGGCTACAATTTTGAATGTGGTTTTCTTACATACTCTTTCATTTGCGATAACCAAAAAGATAGGTCAAATTTTTTTTGTATGACACGATTTCTCGACTGGCTCGTGGAATGCCTCTTAAATTCTGCTTTGACTTTCGCGTTTGTAGCATTACGAGTGTTGAAGTTGCTACAATCCGACTCTTGCAAACTATCATTTTATGACTTGTTATCACCCGATAAACAGAAGCTAACTTTTGTACAGTATTAACGTCATTTTATGGTTCTTCTGAAACTAGCTTGTCCTCGCTGTTGAAGAGTTAGAAACAAGATGACGCGTGCAATATCTCATTTTGCAATATCATAAAATGTCGAAATGATTCATAAAGACATATTCTAAAAAATGTAAGGTTTTTATCAAAATGAAAGGAGCTACTTTCAAAACTAACGTTATTTTACTACCCCTAGTAGAAACAATATTTGCTAAGTCTTAACTGACCTGTCCATGCCAATGCTTTCCATCGATTGTCTCGACTGATGTACGCAATTCGATTCTGATCGTGGTTTTCGACAAATCTCAGTTTGATAAAGTCTTTTGGATAGATGAATGCTTGAAGACGAACAAGTTCGAGATAGGATTTGATCGGCATGGCTCCTTGCACGGTAGCACGCCACGCCACATACAGATCATAGTCATAACACACATCGAATGTTTGATAGAGTTCTGCATCCGTATGGATTAATCCGTTGCTATTACGATAACTTTTCATGGCACTGAACCAAATTGATTCAGCCAACCAGATACAACGAGGATTTACTTCGGTCACGGAATGTCTAGCTTGCCGCCTGAATAACGAAAGAAATATTTACAAAAAAACAAATGCCAAATATACTCCTCACCAGAATTCCATGGGAATGCAAGAAGCAACATCCATGCGAAAACCGTCGACGCCATGTTTGCACCAAAACTTTAGTATATCAATTAGTTCAGGCCACAATGTCGTTTCATTTTCTTCAAATTTCAAATCCAAAATATCCGTCCATTGAGGCATTAAAGAAATAGGATTGTCCTATAAAGAGAGTGTTGTAATATTGAATGAGACATATCAACAAAATTCAGACCTTTTTATCTCTTATATACCATTCTGGATGTTCTGTTACCCATGAACAATCGTGGCTAGTGTGTCGGTAGACAATGTCAATCATGAGTCTCATACCTAGTCGATGAATTTCTGACACTAAACGATGAAAACCGTCCATTGTGCCATATTCTGGATTGATAGCACGAAAATCAGTTATCGAATATGGCGAACCAAGTGAACCTTTACGATTAGTTATACCAATCGGATGAATGGGTAAAAGCCATATAACATCAATGCCCATTCGGACGATTCTACGCAAAGAAAATGTACTGATCAAGAATGAAATATAATTAAATTCGAACAAACCGTGGAAGATCGTCGATGACTCCTTGAAACGTGCCACTTTCCGAATGATTTCGCACATAGACACAGTATATAGCCAAATTTTTAATGCCTTCATTGACCATGACTATGTTGTGCAAAAAAAGTAAGAAGAAGAAGATTATGAATAAATCACAATCAATTTTTCGAGAAACGGACTAATACGTTACGATGATAGAGATCGGATATGGTCCCTATACTATAATGACAATATCCTACGGACTATGAACTAATGCCTATATCTGTATATCTATATTCCTACACCTATGCCCTTATGACTATTTCTTGACAGCTGTACCCATAGATCTGTACTCTTACATTTCCATACTTAGAATGAAGGTGTTTGCATTGTGAATTAATACGATCAACCACATTCCACTCACAGTAATGCTCTTACTGTGAAATTTCGAAATTTCGAACGTGAGCTGCCCTTGACGTGCCACTATTAGGGCTGCTACATTACTATTACTAGTAATAAGTAATAACAAAGGTATTATTACTTATTACTTCATGATAAGTAATAAATTTCAAAAGTAATAAAAGTAATAAGGTAATAACTACAAAAAGTAATAAAAGTAATAAGAAAATAAAAAGACGGTAGAAAATACTTTGGGTAGATGGTTTTCAGTTGGATTTCTGTTCTCACAGTGAGACACTAAGACAATATTGAAACTGATTTTGGCATCGTAAGTTATTTTTCACTGTTTACGCATGACTCATGCGTAAACAGCCATAAGATCCTTCAGTATACGAAAAACAGACTTCGGAATTGAATTACCCATTGTTCGATTACCTTTAGTCAAGCTAAGCTTCATTCAAGAAACATAGATTATGATAACTAATGAGATGCAAAGCGCCCTCTTTCCAAAGTTAGTCAGTTTTCATCGGTTGAGCTGTGCGCCCCATCCTGAGGAGCTCGACAACAAGACAACCAATACAAATATTTTTTGTGGATGGTCCTGTTTTTCCAAAATTGTTTGCAAGAGAGCACCTTTCTTTCTTATTAATCTAATCGATCAGTTGTCTGTGACAAAAAACAAAGTGGAAAATGTTGTTTCAACAGTCAAAATCTCCGATTAGACGAATTGCAATGAGAGTTGTCCTCGCTTACCTCTTTTCAACAACGAACAATAAATGAAAGTGCCCCTGCTCTTTATCTCAGTCTCTTTGATAACTAGCACAATATAAGATAACAGTTATTTTCTCTCTCGTCTTGCACATGAAAATATTCTGTTGACACACTTGAAACTCGAGAGTGATCATTCGACAGGAAACCAGTGTTTCTCGTGTTGGGACATTCACCATTGATAAGACATGACCTTGACAGTAAGTTTGTTAAGAAAGAGAAATCTTCTCGAATCAAAGAGAAAATTTGCTGTTCGTATATGACGTGAACAAAGATCTGTATGAGAAAGAAACTCATTTGTCTAAATGACATTGATCGATGATCGAATATTTAGTTGGCCTAAATCTGCCCCTTAATGGCAAAATGAATAATTGTGAAAGTGAAATCGATCTTTAAAAGAGGGTTCCGGACGTCTGATTTCAATTGAAATAATCCATCTCTTGATGAGAGGTCAAAGTTGTTCGGCGAACATATTTGTTCTTGTTGCAAGTGACAAGAGCTAGTTGTTTATTCTTCAATCAAAGAGTTCAGTTCTTGTCAAATCTGTTGTGGTAGACAATATTCGTTTGTGTCAATTCCTTGAACAAATTTCACAAATAAGAAGAGATAGATAGTCAAGAAAAATACTTTCTACTCACTAAAAAAAATTAGCTTCACACCAAACCAAAAAAAAGCATTCTTCATCTGGGTACAAACCAGGGACCATTTTTTGGTTCCGTATGAAACTGGTTCCGTGTCATACTTTTTTCAGGCGCCTGTAAAAAAGGGTTCTGTAGATTTGAAGGAGACCCTCGTTATATTTTATTCACTGATTTCATGTACTGTGCCTTTCCTATCTTCTCATCTGTCCACCTATCTCTCTTTCTATCACATGGCCAAAATAAACGCAGCACATCTTTTTTTTGAATATTCTCTCTATTTAACAGCAGTTGAACCTCGTTCAAGGTACACATGTATCATATGAGTAGACACGCCAAAACACCAAAGTCATATCCCTCCACTACCATAGTTTGTTGAAAAAAGTAACAATGTGTTCCAAGTACTCCTATATGGTTGTAACAAGAATTTATTATTGCCATACTTGTCTTGCTTCATTCTCCAGTTTTCTTTTGTTTTTTTGGTGATATGACTGCACCTATTACTCTACTCAATCCCATATGCATGTAAATATTTACTTAATCTGTTGAAACTGCTTCTGAGTTTTTTCCCACTGATAAGAATTATGCGTCGTTTTTTCAGACTCTTCGTTGTTCTTTGGTAGCGTACCCTCGAAGAGTAAAGAGAAACTTATCTTTCCTTTTCCTTTGCGTTATGTAGAAATGATTTGAAGCCATTCTCTTCTCCCTTCTGGAGCAAAAAACAACGAAAGACACATACATATGCACATTTTTTCAGTTCTCCTCAGTATGGGTATCAATTAGAGCTCTGCGGGACAAGACTTTTTTTGTTCCGATCCCGTGAAATATACAAAAGTTGTCCCGTGTGACTTTTTTGTCTCGAAAAGAAGAGCAGTTATAAGAGAATCCATAGTGACTGGTTCTTCTGCCAGTCACAAGAGCGATCACAACATACGGTAACATCACATCTATTTCTGTTGGAATTGGATGAATACATGGTTTTTAACAGATGACTACCCTAGACAAAATCCTATGCACTTCTTATGTGTTTCCTACCAGGATTCTATAGGATCCTAAATTTTTAGAATCCTAATAATTTCCTGGCAAGATCTGAGATGTTTTGTTAACCGCGATAATTGTATTGTGGTAGCTTGTCCCACCCTCTACGATGATTAGATTTCTACTTTCGAGTATATTTCTTTTTATACTAAGTGCTAGATTAGATTCACCTTGAAATTCGAATATCTTAGTAGTGGCTAGGGCTGCTACATTACTATTACTTTTATTACTATTACTTTTAATTACTCGGTAATAAGTAAAAATTATTATTACTTTTATTACTTTTCATCCCTAATTGCTTTATTATTTATCATTTTAATACTATTCGGGCTTTAAGTGCTTGGTACTAGTAGAATGGATAAAGTACTTATTACTTAGTAATAAGTAATAAAAGCTTCAAGTAATAAAAGTAATAAGTAATAACGAGTAATAAGGTTTGAGGAGTACTCCGAATTTCTCAAATTGTATGTAAAAAGTGCTGAATTGAGGGTCGTCCAGCTTTCCACGATGTTTGGTTGTAAAGTTGTAAGCATCAGAAAAATCGAAAAAAATATGTTTTTAGCTGATTTTTAGCGGTTTTTTGATAAATTATGAATATTTTTTAGTTTTTCTGATGCTTATAACTTTACAACCAAACATCGTGGAGAGCTGGGCGGCTCCTCATTTTGCTCAGAATGTTTTGATGTTTCAGATGACTATATTTTCAGATATTTTTGTCAAACTCCTCTGGGACCTGAAATTTTAGTGGAACGTTTTTCTGGAAAACTCACGAAGTCTTTTAAAAATTTTGGCTCATACTGCATTCGATATAATGTCACCAAACACAGTAATGATAAAGATCGAGCAGAAAGACCACGGCAAGAAAGCTAATTGAAATGGTACATACATTTACCAAGCTCTGACCACGAACATCACCTGCCGTGAGGTACAATGAGATGGCCACGATTCGAAGTAGAAAACATACGGCAAGAAAGGCAAAATGAAGGACAAGTCGAAGTTTTGGCCGTGACTTATTGCAAGGGCAATTGCAATTGAGTTGCAGCGGTCGATGAAACGGTCGATTCGTCCACAAGCCACATATTCAACCTTTCGTACTTATCTGGCCGGTAACAGGATGAATCTTTTTATTACTGCAGTTTTTACGATAAAATATGAGCATTTTGAGAAGTAACACGAGAAGAATAAAAGCGATGAATATTCCCATCATTGTCGGCACAATCGATCCGACCCAATCTAGGATAAAAGCAATCATGAGGATGTGTGAGTAGTAGCCATGAAATGATCCACCATTACTGCCAAAGTTTCTCTCGAGTGAGAAAAAAATCGAAATTCGAATGATACCGCATACAAATTCACAGTAGGTTAAAATGACCATAAGGGCCGGGAGAGCCTTGCAGAAAATGTAACAGTTGCAACAACACATCGTTCCGTAATCTGAAAATGGAGAGCACGAATCCGCCTCTTACTTCCCTTGGAATACTCCAACTCATGCGCGAATATAAAGGATATAAAGGTGTCTTTTATCCGATATGTATTGTGTAATCACAATAAATGACAAAAGAACGATAATGTCTGTTGCGATATTTTTTCTTCGTTCTCTGGATATTTCGTAGAATTCACAGGCAACAATTTGAAACAGAATTGAATTGAGTTAACAGCAGCACGGAATAAAGTCGTTTTCATTTTTCACAACGTTTTGATAAATTTATTATCATTCTCAAGTGGAATACATTCTGAAATTACAGGGAGAGTGTTATTGAACAAGAAAAATTACTAACTCGATGATAGAGTACAACAATTTACGATTACAGAAGACTCGAATACGATACAAATTGAGAGATATGACAGGAGCAAGCACATAAAGAGACAGCGGATGAGGAGTTGCTAACATGCAGATACAGTGACAAGAGATGAGTGCAACTGTTTACGATCACAATAAGACTCGAACATGATACAAATTGAGAGATAAGACAGGAGACAGGTGTGACAATAGATTAGGTGGTATTCACTAGCAGATCCAAGGACAAGAGACGAGTACATTCAGAATGAAGTACACATAAAGAGAAAACGATCTTACACATATCAGACTCGAGTTTGAAAGTATTTTATTGCGAGGTCCCGTCAAGTTTCAACCGGCAGTTAACGAGCCCCCTAAAAAATACAAGATATTAGATATCTTATAATTTTTCTGGGATATCGCTAATCCCCACAATTTTTGTGTCGTCAGCCTAACACGATACATATATGAAAAATTTTCATCTATAGAAGTATATCGAAAGAAAAT